AAATGTGTTTGTTTAACATGTATTACATAAATAAAGGTACATACAAAAAAGTTATACGTAATTTTGAAATTTGCATTTTTTCAGAATTTGATACTCATAATACAGGCATACGTAACTGTGTAGGTATGTGTAAAAACAGTAAATTATTTGGCAAAAAAGCTAGTAATTTTCATATGAACAGATTGTTTTTTTATAATTATTTAGAAGAGTAAGTTGAATTTTATTTAATTTCGTAAGTGTGACTGTACTGTATTCTTCTTGCTGAAAATAACGTTGCAAATTTTTCACGCAGTCTAATGCCTCCTTAGTTATCACTGGAAGCTCTTCTTCATCGTTGTTTTCTAGTTTGTCTTCCTGTTCATTATCAACAGATCCTTCAACTTTTTCAAGCCCAATTTTTTTTTACCAAAAAAAAAATTTTTTTGTCTTTTTCTGTGTAATTATGGTCTAAAAATTACGGTAAAAATGTTTTTTTCTCAAAAACAATTTTTTTTGGGAGGAAAAATGATGACTCCATTTGGAATCAGTGGGCGTAAGATAAGAAAAATGTAAATTGATAATGGTTTATTTTAGATTTAATTTTAGTTATAAAAAAAGAGTAGTAAGAGTAGTAAACATTTAAAATTACTGATTATGGAATTTAATAAAACAATTTTTTCCTTTGACAAACATAGAGGCATGTTGCATTTCATGCAAGAAATTCTCGTATACGATTTGATGCAATTCCTACATCTCTGCTTTGGTTCTATGTGTTCTGGCCAGTGAGAAAATCCATCAAATCTCATCTATCGGTCTGGGCACAACAGGTCGTTTTCGTGGAGGCTGTTCAACTTCTGCATCCGACGGGCGTCCTCTTCGCAGTAATGGTGCATTCTGTTGCAACATTGCATGTGCAACTTCAGCTCTGAAAGTGACCAGTCGTTTAATTTTTTTGATTCCTCTTGCTAAATAGTATCTCCTGTACAAGAGCCATGCGTTGACGATGCAAATATCTATTAGATGGTAAATTATTCGTAAATAATAACGTCTAACACCTATGAAAATAGTAGATTACAGTGGCCCACTGACGCCAATTGGAATCATTATTAAAGTGGCGTTAGGCCCACTGATTCCATTTGGCATCATAACATTCTAAGTACATAGTTTCAACAATTTTACTATGATTTCAATAAAAACCTCATTTTGTATTACTAATGACCTAATAATGCTATTTGTATTAATATTAAACACATAAAATATAAACTTACCTTGATTTTATGCAAGAACAAACAATAATTATTACACGCAATACTGTAAACTTTGAATTAACCTAAAAATCGAAATGTCAATCAATATTTCACAAACTGGTATGCGTGTCGCCATCTGTGATCTATTGGCTATAATATATTGCCTGGGATTTCTATTTCTATTCATTTTCAGTTTTCTGTCGTGGCTTTAGGCAATATATTCCAATTGGAGTCGCTGGGCTGGAAAGGGTTAACCAAATGGAGTCTGAAAATTCCTGTGTTGCTATTAAATTATTGTCAACATTTACATACTTTACATACAAACTTGTCTATATTCAGTATACTATTAATTTTAAGTAAATCACTTAATGGAATTTCATCTTCTGGATTAAAATTCCCATGCAATAGTAAGCAAATTTATAGTATCTAAAATGGTGACAGCTTTGGTAATGTTGACATTTTCTTGAAGCTCCATAATTTTCATCAACATGTTTCCGATATATTTGTTTAATACTCTAAATGATACCCTGGTCCATTGGTTGCAGAACTGATGTCACATTGGGTGGAAAAATTGAAGGTTGATGTTATTAAGTGAAATATTTGGATGAGCGGTTCAGTTATCGACCAAGAGCAAAATTTTACGATTTTTCTTAATAAGTTCAGCGTCCTACTTTTTTAAATATTCTTCAAAAATTGATGAAGTCATCCAAGGTTCATTATATCCAACATAATCGACGGGAATTGTTTTAACATTTTTGAAACACCTGGGTTTCTTAAATTTCCCTGAAATAAAAAAAGGTCATAAATTCTTTGCAGCACTACCGTTAAATATCAAAAAAATTATAACATGAATTTCTATTCATTCACTCACCTATTATCAATAGTTTCCGTTTCTCGGTACCAGAAGCATTAGCACAAATCATAACAGTTATTCGCTCTTTTCATAGTTTCCCTCCATTGCAAGTTTCACCTTTAAATGTATGAGCTTTATCTGATTGCATTCTATAAAATATCCCGGTTTCATCTGCGTTGAATATGTTATCATCTGAGTAATCACTGGATATTACGGGCCAAACTTGAGAAATCGAAACTTTGGTAACGAACTTGTCAACTGAAGCTGACTCACCACATATTTTTCCAAAAACAATGTTATGTCTTTTCTCAAACCTGTCTAGCCAACCGGAACCATTTAAACAGCATATAATCGTCTTGGGGATGCAGAGATACCAGCATTTTTTTTTGACTACATATTTGATTTTCAGTCATTTTTAATTTTGTCACGGTTTTTCCAAATATTTGACACAGTGGATTTTTTATAGCCATACGAGCACATATGTTTGCTTGAGATGAACCCTGCTCAAACTCACTAATTATTGTGAACTTTTCATGTAAAGTGAATGCACGTTTTGCACTTTCCGACATGTTTATAACTCTAATGAATACAGTATAACACTGGTGGCCAAGTTCGATTGCAAACTGCGAATCCAAACCGCCGTAAACGATTGCATCATCTAAATCTGCTTCGGGGAAGTACCAAAATAGCTCGCATATACTGGATTAAAATAGTCCACTATAAGCGAGGGTCTCTTTTAAGCGAGTTTATAATATCCGAGGATTTTAACATGGAATTATTTATAGGACCTTAAATTGTGTCCATTATATACGGGTTTCCATTATACGCAAGTTCATTATAAGTGGATTCCACTGTATTTATTTGCTTCAAAGAAATAATACATTTGTGATACACACTGCATATTTTTGAGGTACAAATAGAATTCGCTAATCGATGGTTTAAGTTCTGTTTACCCTTCTTTTAAAAGCATACTGAAACCTTTCTGTTGTATTTTAGTTAATAATTTCTGAAAGAAACCTCTAGAGACGCTACTGATATCAGCCATGGCTATTTCCAAACGAATGAAGTAAATAACAAGAATGTCACATCAAGTTTACGTCAAGTACAAAAAGTTCGACTCTTGCATATTCGAAAGCAGCTATTTTACATACGAGCTACGAGCTAGAGGCTCGTGCGGCAGTGAAAACTTTCCGTTCATGATTAATCTTTACAGATTTATTCATGAGTTTTTTCTGTAAACAGTGGAGTCCAAAAACCGGTTAGATTCTTTCGCAAATAGGATTTGATTTTTTTTTTCAAGATTTATCACTTCTATGTAAAAACTGGTTTGTCGATTTTTTTTATAGAGAATTGAGGGTTTTCGACCATTTTTTAAAGAAAAGTCTGTATTTCCAAACTTGTTTATATCTCAAATATCAAATACATTATTGCGGAATTGACATTTTTTTACAAATCATGTTATACTTTTTTACAAAAATAAATAGATCTTTTTGTAAGAAATATGTATGTTCAGTTGTTTACATATGAATAGATGGAGAAACTTAGCCTTACGCAATTTCTGTATAGGTATTGGATATTTAAAACCTTCATTTTTATTATTTCTCCAGTCTACAATCATGTACTTTCCAACGAGCTATGTAGTGCTTTTAAATGCATATAAATAAAGCATTACATTTGATTTATACCTTATGGCAAACATACAGAGTGTCTCAGAATAAGATAGCAATCTTCCAGGTGCAAAAAATACAGGCTTCTAAAGAAAGCTACTGGAAACCGGTTTGTCTTAAGGAACTTTGAAAGACTATTGTAATCAGTAATCAGCTAGGGTTTCACAAGATTGTGTCTATGTAAAACAAGTGATTTAGATTAGACTGTCAGGGATGGACTGGAAAATTGAAGAAGGAGGTGCTCAGGTTTTTCTGTTAGGTTTTTGTACCAAGCCAAGGCCTGGAGCCTGGGCCTCGTGTGCCCACAGGATAAAGACGGAGTAGATTCTGGGATCTTTCAGGTCACTGATTATGAATCTTTTATCAGAATCACTGTATTGTCAAAACAATAGAATTGGAATACTGAAACCAATACTAAAATGTTCTTCTCACAAACAACTCATTTATTAGATAATTCAAGCTTACATAAATTCTCTTCAGCCTAAATGCAAATGTCATCAGTGAGACATTCTTATACAGGGTGTACACAAAATTAGCAATATTGCCTTTGTGCTAGTATGCGAATTCGTATCAGCGATATAATTGTACTGTTTCCTTTTGCCACCGTCATATTACGTCTGTCAGTGTCGATCAAAAGTTGCTTAAATAAATTCGATTTTTAGTTGTGTCTACTAAGGGACTGTACCTTCGTAGGGTAGTGCCGTAGGACATTTTTGGCATTTGTGGCATTAGTTTTTCTCGTTCTCTATGCACCCAAGAAATTGCCATCCTATCCTGGAATACCCTATTGCCTGTTTGGAAGAAAAACTCAAAATTCATGAATTCATAAGAAGGGGCTTGGAACACTCTTCCACACATAACTATGCAGCTTTGGTTGGAACTCAGGCTGCGACTTCGCACCATAAGTGGTATAGTTACTAAATAAGTTTAATAATACGGTTTATTCAGAGTTAGTTCGTTAGTTACGAGTCTTCCAAATCGATACTACGAATAGTTGAGGTGTTGAGTCAATCCACTTGACCCTGTTTTTCCCACTTCTACACCAATAATAAGCGTTTACCAGTTTATTCGTGCAAAAGGAGCGCACTCTAGACTGCACAATCAACTCTTGCCGATAATAATGTATGAGCATTATTCCGTGGCGTCTAAAAATAAGCGATGTATTGTGCGGCTATATTGCCGAGAAGGAAAATGACAATAGCTGCAGCTTTATAAAAGAAATAGGATAATTGAATAGCCTACAACGAGGCACAAGATAGGTATCAGCCATCAACGTATCAGAAACGCGTCCGTCTGTCCGTATGTTTGCCCGTCCATCGTCGACGCCACGCGAAGGGACGTTAACTTTATCGCTCGATTGATGGGGGTCCTACGGTTATTCTATGGTTGTTTTGACGTTCAACGAATGGCGTTAACCGATAATTGCTTACAGTGGAACATGCTTGTTGTACGGAAACTGCTATGTGGTGTTTTGTGATAAGCTGTGAGGTGGGTACTTAAGCCAAAGCTTGTGTTCTATGATTCGTTTTATTCGTTTTTGTACCTATTGCATATGAGCATGGACTTGGTATACATTTCGGAGTGTCGTGGCCTTTTGAATAGGAGACAGAGAGTTTGGGATTAAAAAAAGACGTGCATGCTTCAAGTTTTCAGTCACTCTCCATGGGTACCCTTCACCGACCTTTATCTCTACGTCTGTTAGGATTGGATGTAAGATATGGTTTGACTTTCAGAACAAAATATTTTTTACGAAAAGGAGGAGAAGTAATTTGAAAAGATCCGTATTCTTTTTTGTACATGAAATGTTTTTAGTCATTTTAGGGTAAGGCTAACATAATACATTTAGGGAGCGAAATTATTGTTAGATTCCATTCCAACTGGCTACGAGTTTTGTAATTGCAAAAATTTGAAATCGAGATATTACGTTTTTAGATATTATGTCATCCGCCCACCTGTCCGTCTTTTGGTCTGTCTATGCGTTAATCCTTCATCCCCTCCCTCATTTTGACAGAAAAAAACTACAAAGTCAAGGACAGAAAACTTTCAAAAAGTTGTCCAGTGACGGTTACGAGGAAAGGAACGAAAAATTTTATAGCGTTACTAAACAGTCCATGCTGAACTTGATAAATAAAAGCTGTTCACTGATGCCCCTATCAGGATTGACTCTCTCAACTGCCAAATATAAACGACGTTGTATCATCTCTAGCATCTCCTTTGGATATATCTAATAAGACTTCCAAACAAATGAACAGTACTCTAGCCTAGACCTTACAATCGCAAAATATAGTGTTTCGAAGCTTCAACACCGATAAACAATTTGCAATATCTTAATATCCTTTCATACTTGCAGCTTTTTGCTGTATATATTCCTTGAAGCTGAGACTTGTGTTACACAATACACCAAGGTCCTTTACTAAGCATTTTCTCTCGAGAGCGACTCCGATAATTCCGCTTTCAACACAGATGGAATTCGTATCTTTATCGAATGATAACTCGTGACATTTGGATACATTTAAGCTAAGATTATTGACTCAGCAGCAATAAAGGGGAATATCAAGATTTTTCTGCAAACAGAGGCATTCATGGAGGTAGTTAACGTTTGAAAAGATTTTAAAATCATCAGATTACAAGTAAATCCTTGAGAGATATCATTTATGGAAAGAGAAAACAATAAAGGGCCTCGATTGGAACCCTGAGGAACACCAGATCTAAAACTATTATAATAAATAAACTGAAATCTATTAATCGAGTAAGTTTGCATAAATGACAAGAAACACTCATGAAATCCAAACGACGACCGCTTTCTTAAATGAATGCTATGATCTATTGTGTCAAATGTCTTGGAGAAGTCGGTATAAATTACATCAACATGTCTCTGATTATTCATGTATTCGAAGATATATTGCGCAATAACCGAAAAGTTGCTAACAGTCGACCTACTGCTCCAAGAAGTCGAGCTGAAACGAACTGATTGAATTACGAACTGTTTGTCAAATATGGTAAATTGAGTTCTCAGAAACTTTTGCAAGTATTGAGATAATAGAAATTTTCTTTCAGTTATGAATTAGAATCATCTCCACTTTTGGAAATAGGATATTTTTTCCTTGAAAGTCGTATGGCCATGGGTATGGAATTTTATAACAGGATTCAGGTTACAAAAGAATCGGTTGCTAATACCAAGTGTCAAGTGTAAACAGTGTGGAGACGCAGTTAGCTGTCCTGATGTAATAGTATGATTACCTACTTGACAAATCAAGAGGGATACCATAGGGGTAGCGACCAAATAAACTGTCAAATTCATTATGGTTCCGCATAATGTTTTTTTAGGGGTGCATAATAAGCTTCATCCTAAGCACCAAGTCAACCATAATACCGTGGTAATGAAAAAAAAACGATACACTTTGCAAATGATTTTCCACATTTATTAACATGTTTGCATGTGCATTGAGGCAGCACGATGCTTCCTCGATCCTCTTCTTCAGCAACGAAGAAGCTTCCATGGAACATGTTAGGTGTTGGTAACTTTCCACGCCTGTCGATGAACGCCGACAACTGATCCACCAAGCCGAACAAATTTAATTGACCGCCAACGGGGTGCGGGAGGAGGGATGGCGCGGCGACAAAGTTGGATCATCAATTATAGCGTTTACTAATAATTACCCCATCGTAGTCGTTCAGCTAATGCGCTTAATAAAACAGAATTGCGGGGATGCGAAACAGAAGCGCGTGGCGACGTCGCCAACGTCGGAAAACGAAAAAATAAGGCCAATCAAGATACGTAGCGGGAGGCGGAGCGCAGTGGCGTTCAGGTGCTTTAGTGGAATAGTTGGCATAGTTCATTGCTGGATTTGGTGGAAAAGACAGATACAATAGCAAAAAAGGAGACGGACTTGCTCAAGGAGGCACCCCATGGGCCCCTCCGGCCTGCTATGAAAAGAAGTATCTACGTCACACGTTATAATACTATAGGGATAAGGGTGCCACCGGAGCTTCTCCATCGGCCTCGGCCACATTCACCAAACGAATACATCTTCAGTAATTGATTTGGTCTGCGACCGAAGAATGAAGGCTTTGGGGAGTCTCTACTCACGAGAACTGATGCGAAAATATCGCTCACCAAGAGAATAAGAATGGCGCCAAGTAGGTTGACTCTACACTTCCCTCGCAACGTTGTCCTCAGTTCATAAAGTATTATGATCAGCTCAAGTTAGACTCTATCGGAATAAGACAACGCCAAGGACCTTATATCCTGAACAGAGGATAGTTGCTATGCTTTCGATCGTTCTGTGAAAGACCAAATCTAGACCATGCTGATTAGTTGCCAATAAAGCACAAAACAGCTGTCTGTAATTGGCTATCTTTGGCTGGGCAAAAAAAGCAGCATGTATATGTTAGATACTCTAAGAAAAAAGTTACTTATGAACGTGTATAGCAGAGAAATTAAACGAAACACGACTATAACATTATATCTCTACCCTGCCCGTTGTACCGGGCATCTGTCAACGTCGCGTCGCCCCTCCTCAATATCTGAAAGCCTGATGGGCCACAAGCGGAAGAACGCCCACAGAGCACCTTCGATACAGGACATATACTAACATCGGCATAGTGGCCGCAGCCGTTAATCAGCAGACGCAGGGATGCTTGCTGAAAACATTTTTCTATCGTTTTAAGGGCAAAAATACCGGGCAATCTGATGTCTAATAGGTGCGTAGAATCATCGGGGTTGGAAGTGTAGTAATATACTAACATCCAAAAATTGCAATACACCCTCCTCCATCCCCCAACAACCCTCAATCTCCAATTTTTAACACCGAAAAATCTGTTAAAAAATGATCAGGATCCTCTGAAACGTCAAAAAATGTTTGAGCGATTTTTACTTTTTTCATCCGCCATCACTCTACCAATTTTCAAATACTATAAAGCTTTTTCGTGATTGGCATAGTAGTAACCTTGACTGAAATGTTCATCAAAAACCGACCAGGACAAACCGACACACAGGCCGATACACCCGCACAAGCGCGCGCGCGCACACACACAGAGAGACCGACAACAGACAGGCTGACGGAAATCAGTTACATGGTTTTGGTGATGTACATGTCATACGAGTATAGCATCCAAAAAACATTAATCTAATTTTAGTAATTTTTTACTATTACATTACTTTCTCGCCAGTAGGCGGGAAGTAAAAATGGTCAGCGAATCCAGGAAAAATTGAAATACTTATCAAGTGATGCTAAGGAAGGTTATATCTACGATTATGGGCTCTTAACTCATTCTTTTCTGTTGAGACCGATTAGGTACTTTAAAATGCATCTGAGTTACCAGTTACTACTAGTGTAAATATTTTTTTAGACGTCCAATCCTAAAGGACAAACATTCGAAGATAGAAAAGCCAATTTAGTATGCGGTGTTGTTCTGTTACTATTTGTTCGGTGTGAACTTAACGTACACCAGTTTTCTGGAATTGGAATAAACTCTATCTATTTAACTTATCCTATGTTATAAAATGGCGTCAAGTATGATGACCCTGCACTCCTTGCGCAAGGCCAGTATCAGTTCATAAAGGATATGTTTAGTAAAAACTAGACCCTCTGAGACAAAACCCAGTCAGACAGGTCTATACAATGAGTCCATAGACATTGATTACCATACCAGAAAAACAGAACACCCCGCAGCCGCGGCCGGTAGGTACGCGATCAGTCTGCCAAGAATATTTTTCCAAGTTCTAGGGGCTATGTCTGGATTTTTTTTAATAGGTGCGTGGAATAACCAAGGTTGGAAGCGTATAAAAGTGCTAAAACAAAAAAATTGAGATAAGCCGCCCCATATCCCCTCCTACAACACTCATCCCCGAGTTCTTTATCTCTAAAATTTTTTCATCAGGATCCTCTGAAGCGTTAAAAACGAAGTTTGAGGATTTTTCACTTTTTTCGTTTTAGGTCTTTATCTCTGCAGTCACTGGACTGATTTTCAAAAACTACAATGCTTTTGGGTCATTCTCATAGTAGTAACATTGTGTAAAAGTCGTGATCCGAGCGGTACTTATAGGCGGTAATAAGATTAGCGGACAAGCCGACAGACAGACGGAAATGAGTGACATCGTTCTTCGTGATGTACTAGGTTACTACTATTATGATGATGTAAAAGTTTTGTAGTTTTCAAAAGTAGGTTCAGTGGCGGAGGACCTAAAGGCAAAAAACGAAAAAATAAAACATCACTCAAACATAAGTATACACACGTGTATTTATGATCTTCTAGCTCCAGTAATTCTACGCACCTATCAAGCATATTTCTCGCTCATATTTCTTCGTATATTTAAAATATATATTAATCGAATAATAGAAATGTTTTATATACGTATATATAATATAGTGCTCTAGTCGCAGTCCATGCGATGAATCTACCTGAACAGCTGAGAAAAGGTCGTCAACGATACCCCTGCGATGTAAATACTAGGGCAATATAATTTATTGAATATACAGGGTGAC